ATGATGACTTGATGTGTACCTTAATGCCTAGCACAATGGCATAAGGTGTTTTTAGGTTACACTTTGGTATTTTTAAAAGGGCTATTTTATTTTTTCCTGAAAAAGTACAATATATACAAAGTAATAAGATATCATTTTAAAGAATAGTACTTTATTGAATACATTTTATTCACAGAAAAATAAGCTTTGATCTATGACTGCCAGATTATGCAGTGGAAAGTAATTTTCTTAGTTTTCCATAGCGATGGAAAGGTTTCTACTATATGGGGGAAAAAGCCATAAAATTATATTCACAAATATAGTACTCTATCTCAAAACATTTCACACGATTATTCACAACACTAATACAATGACATAGCAACCAGCCATTCTTGCAGGGTAGATAAAGTATAACAGTAAAGAAAAAAAGGGCAAAATCTTCTAACAAAAGTTACATAAAAGCCTTTGTTACATCAAATCAAAAATGCAAATTTGTAAATAAGTACAGACAAAATAGACTTATATAGTAATTTTAAATGTTACATTAGTGATACACAATAAGAATGCCCTAAATGCCAAAAAAGTCTATACACTTATCTGCAAACTTTAGACTTCAAAATAGAATCTTACCACCCAAACATTAATGTAGTATTGTACAATTTGAAGATATATGTATTTAAGATTGTCCTATTGGATTAGTTATAAAGTGTCATTTAATATGTAGCCAAAGTTATGGTACAGAAGAAAGAATAGTTGAAAAAATAAACTTCTGAGACCTCCCAGGAGAGGTAGCTTGATGTTTTACCTTCAAACTATGCCCCAGCCTGGGCCCCACTAATTAGCTATGTAGCTTTCAACAAAGCACTTCACCTTTGAGCCTCAGTTACCTCACCTGTAAAATGAGGGGGAAGAAGTAGATATTCTAGGTCACGTCCAGCTTTGACGCCCTATAATTCTATTGTGCTGCAAATGAAATTCACATTGTGCTAAGTATGAGTCAAACTGAAACTGACTGCGAAGGTGGGAATTAGCCAACTGTTTCTATTAGGAAGGCTCAACTAAATGAGAAAATTTTCAAGTTTTTTTAAAAAGAAATTTAAATATTTTTAAGAACTTGACCTATTTATTGATTGTAATTTACATCTTAACTATGAGAAACACCAAAACAGATGAGTAGGAGTCAATGAAAGAGTTATCATCTAACTTCTAGCCCAAATTTCCAGAGTCAAGGCAGACTAGGAGGGTAACAGTGTTAGGAAGGGAATTAACACTTATAGCAGGTATTTTACATACCCGATCCCCCTGAACTCTCATAACTGTAAGACTGGTACTATTCTCATTTTCACAGATGAAGAAATGGCAACCTCTTTTTTAAAGAGCAGATTTCACTAAAAATAACTACATCTGTCAAATATTCCCTCCCGTGTTATTTCTCTAATGGAAATGATACACAACCAATCTCATTTCTCCCATCCCTCTACCTCTTTTCCCACATTCAACACCTGAGTAATCAGGAAATAAAACAATGATTTGGATCTAAAGGGTACAATACACGCAACTAATGCTGTGGTGGTAGTCTCCCATTCAGAGAGTTCAAAATACCAACTTTTCCACTAAAATGAAAACAAGAGAAAGCAACTACTAAAGTCTAAATATTATAAAAACAAAAACAAGCAAAGATCATAATACTCAGGGCCACATCACATTATATACACTCACTACACCCACCCTGCCCCATCTTAGACCCTAACCAAAGGGGGGAAAAAGCAAAAACACACAAAAAAAACAAATCTAGCCGGAAAGGCAATACAAAGCCATTAATTAATAAACTGTAATTTATAAACACTAAAGCCATTTCTTAAAAAGTACGACGAGGCTTTTGATCAGCACACCGAAGTATTACAAATAAAGATAACTATTTATTACAAAACAACTTGACTCTCACAGGACTAAATGTAGCAAAATAGGTGGGAACTCGGAAATCTTAGCAAGAACTTCATACAGAAAAGGCATGTCTACATGTAGATACCGAGAACTATTCTGGGGAGGGAGGAAGCAGAGATTTGGATCTGGTTATATTTTTGACCTCGCAAGTGATTATTTTTTGCACAATTAGATGGGACGGATCCAGTGCTTTTTATAGTGTGAACACAGACAAACATTGGTTAAGTCTTAAAAAATTTGATTAGAAGGTGGAATGCTGAGTGATTTAAGAGCCTGAAGCAACAGCCTTTCTAAACAATTCTTAAAATAAACTTGTTAGTCACATCAGCTTCATGCATTATATTTCACAACTCACGGGGAGGAAAAAGGCCTTGCTTAATTCTAAACAGACAAGTTTTCAAAGAAGAGTTTTAATGAACTGAGGCTCCCAGAACAGGACAAGCCTTATGTTAAAACAATTCAGTCCTTGGCCAACAACTAGATTGAACTAACTACTTGACTTGGAGCAGATGTGTCCTGAAAGCACAGTTTAAAAACTGAACACTTTTTTTGCTCTTGTAATTTAAATTTAAAGCTTACACTATACATGTAAAATTCAACTTAATGAATATATAACTAACGGTAAAACAAAAACAGGACAGTCATTTTTAAAATTCTCGTTTAAATTTGCAATGCAGTTTTAAAATATCACTTAAAGCAGTAATCAACAGAGGTTAGGAGAACATGACAATCTTTCCCTTAGAAAGCACAACAATAATTATATTTGTAACAGTTTTACTCTCAAGCTTTTCTCTGCAGTAAAATGCCTCACTCACCTCTGCAACAGGTTGTGGTGAGAATCTTGAAATATGAAGCCTGGGCGTTCTATGAAGGGTTTTAAAACTTTCAGTTTTTAGCTATATAGATTCTTATTCAAGTTTTATTTTCTCTTTAATATTTAAACAACTGTTCTCTCCTTGTCAATATTTTATAATTTCCAAGAGGTTTTTAAGGATCTTGAGAGAATATTTATTTCAGAATTATCTACTACTATTACTAGTCAAAAAAACCAAAAAAAAGGTAAGTAGAGACTTGACATTTTGTCCTATATACATCTTAATCACCCTAACGGTAAAAACTCACACGAAACTTTACAATACAAGATGATATGAGAATCTCAACATGGAAAGCTTGCACTACAACTACAACTACAAGCAGTGTACAAACATGCGCCTACTTTTACCTACATAAGCTGACAGATGTTTAAAATACTGGGTTAACAAAGATCTTTTAGTAAAGTGACTTAGGCAGGCTTAAACTAGCAAGGATTAAGGGTGAATCCTTGCTAATTAATTGGAAGATCTGACACATAGTTTATATTTCATTTTACAAAATCAGGAATATTTATTTTGAAACAAGAGAAGAAGACATGGTCTACCTGTCAGGAAACTACCACTCAGAAATATTTTTCATCCACAAAGCAGGACAAACATAAAGACACTTTAAAATTTTCACATTGGTACCAAAAAGGTTAACTGCCCTGTCTTCTAGGATTAGAAAAACGAAAACTGAGCAATAAGTAGTTTTGCAGGCGTTTGAACATGCCTAAGCCTTTAAATCAGTAAAATATTTTCTAAAAATTCTGATTACAAAATTAACACATACTTACAAAAATTCAAACAAAACAAAATTAAAAAAGTAGGAAGTGAAA